TGTACGTATTGTACTCTCTCACACTGAGTTCCGATTTCGTAAAACGTATCGCCACATGGAAATACGTTGATGCGTTAGCGTACTAAAATAGTAGGAGAAATTTTTAGGCATTGTTCACCTGTCATTGTCGAATATCTGATCTGTTTGTTTTTTCATATTTTTTTCGATATCATTCCGTATCAAATAATATCGATTTTTACATTACGTTCATCTACAGATCAGATTCGCCATATAGAGCCGTCGAGAAGGAGCGGTAGTCCAATGCTCCAGGCACAGCGCTCGGTCCTTTGAACGGAGGCATTCGCTGGATGCAGTATTCTGCCTGATCCGGTGGTAATTCTCTCCTCAATTCGTCTGGCAAGATGTAAGGCTAAAAGACAAGAATTTACGATTTAGATCAAACGACAACGAGACTTTCGTCGTTGTGGATTAATCACGAAATATCAAATATTTTTACCTTGTCGCCAGCAAGAATGCGGAAACTGTCGATGACTTGTTCTGCCGTGTCAGTATCGGTGGACTCGCGTGTCATAAAGTCAAGGAAGGCATCAAAGTGCACATAGCCTGAATTGTTGGGATCGACGATAGCCAGAATTCGTTGGAAGTCGATGTCGCCTTGCCTGTCCTTTCCGATAGAGTATCCCAGAGACACGAGACAGGATTTAAACTCGTCCGGTGCCAATCTGCCTGTCCTATTCTTGTCAAAGTGGTTGAAACTGCTGCGGAATTCATTCAGCTGCTCCTGAGTAATGCCCTGAAACAGAAATGCATTTACGCTTGTTTTTAAATTTAAAAGGATCATAAGCGAAATCAAGAATGTTAATAACATAGAACTTGAAACACAAGCTCCTTTATTTATTTATTATTTAAATATTAACGTATTCTCAATTAATTTTTAAAAAAATGTATAACACAGTTTTGAATTTTATAAAGACTTTTTAGGAAGACTTGATGCTACATATCAATTTTCAATAAAAAAAATTATTAAAAATGACTGGCTAAATCATGAACTGGATAAATTTACGTTTGATATATAAAGAATATCATATAGAAAATATCTTCAAAAATTGAAGCAGTTTCACCACTTTTAAAACAGTTTTTAACCCTTTAAGAAATAAGTTTTTATATTAATAAGAAATATGAATAAAACTATTATTTTCGTCATCTAAAATATCTGTAGAAAGTTCTAAAGGAAACTTGGCAATGTAAACGTAGAAAGTTTCGATATTGAAGTTTTCTGATGCTAAACTACATCGTTCTTCTTCTTCTAAATAATCGAGATATAAATATTGCATCGTATATTTTGCTCACATAACCTCATCGTCTATTATAGAATCCTCGAGCTCCTTTAACAAGGAATCAGCCTCCTCTTCTTCTGACTCTTGCTCTTTTTTTGGTTCTTCCTCTTCTTTCTTTTGGTTTTTACCATTTTCCATTTGTTTCAACATTTTCCGCAATTGCTTTTTGCTAATACAAATGCTTTCACCTTATGATCGACGATCCAATACGACAATTACAATAGTTTTCATTTGTTTCATGTTACCAAACTATTTCTTCAACGATAAAATTTTGTTAAAGATATGTTATTTATATCTTATAATAAGAGATATTTTACGTTTCTGCATAAACAAGCAATTATATTCTTTACATTCCTGATTCTTTAAAAAATTTATATAAATGTTTTTTTCAAATATATCGGTACTTAAGGTAATGAGATTGGTAATAACCTTCTAGGTATGAAAAAAAAAACGTTAATTCCCTCTCACTGGCTACCTTGCCTTAACATTCCTCTGGAATGACGTAGATATGACTATTTGAGTAATTTAGAAATACCTTGGAATCTCTGGTGAGAATTTGATTTTCGACTTCGTTAACGTTGCGATTGATCGAGGTCAGAAGCTGTTCCCAACCGACACGCAGCGTCTCCATGGTATACTGAGTGTAGCGGTTCTCGAAGATCATGCCTTCCTGAACCGCTTGGTGGATCTTCTCCAATTCCTCAAGATGAGCCTTGTATTGATATACTGCCTGTTCGTATTCCTTCAGACGATGTAACTGATCCTCCAGAGTTCCCTGAAATATAAATGCAACATTTAAAATTCCGTGAAATATATAAAGTATAAACGATAGATAACTCTCTATGTAAGATTAATTCACCTGAAGACCGAGACCAATCGCGGTGACGGCGTCCAACTGACGTTCTATCCATGGTCCGACAACATTGGCTTTCTCGGCGAACTGTCGTCTAAGCAGTTCATTATCTATTTTCACAATTCAGGAAATTTTCACATTTTCACATTTCAAATATCTTTCAAATGCACATTTAACCATTGAAAAACTTTTCCTTAAGTCGTAATAAAAATTTCTATTCAACATGAAATTTACTTAACATTATGAGTCAGTAAATATCAAAAGAAAGTTAAATAATCGATATCATAAAGCAAGGATACTTTGTTGTTTGCGAAGTTCAGCAGCCAGGGTACCGTCACGTTGAGGGACTAATTGTCTAACATCACTCCATTTCTTAGTAAGGTCCTAAGAAGATAATATTGATTAATTTAAGGTGAATCTCTGTATCATAAATATATTCAACAATTTATCCTTCGACATACCATTGCAGTGAGAGCGGTGTAAGGATTCTCTAGGCCGCCAGGAATCTGATATTGTTTAACTATGGATTCGACCTCGCGCACCAATCCCACAATTGAATTGTACTCCTTATCTGCTTCGCCCAGAGTAGCCTTGAACGCAGCGTGCGCGTCCATCAGACCTTGGATCTCCTCCATCGTGTGGACGATAAACATGTCCACTAGATCTTCTCTGGTTCCATCCAACCAATTGTTGAATGGCTGAAAATCACGCGACGTCAGACGTTACACTCGGGTAAAAAAAAGAAGCCGACAATTTTTGCAAATATAGTCAAGTGCTCACAGCAGCGCGCTTGGCAAACTCCAGATGTAAGACGTCTATCTTCTCCAGGATTTTCTCGGCTTCGTCGAGAGCTTGACGTCTACGTTGGGTGAGTGTACCCAAGCGATCCCACTGATCGCAAATGCGTTGGCATCTGGCGTTCACAGATGCGCTGTCATGATACTCAAGAGTGCTGTAACAATAGAACACGAACGTTACAACGATCAAGACAATCGTCCGAGACAGATTTCAAGTTATGAAATTACTTGAGTTCTTGAGCGATAGCCGCGATCTGCTCTACGCGATCTTGATGAGCCGCGAGATCTGACTCAAAGGCCTCGTGCTTTTTCTTTAAGGCCTTGAGATCGTTTAGTTTACACTGTCGGAAGTGTTGAGACGTGAGCATCTCTTCTTTGCCGGCGGTCCAATCTTCGTGAGCATCTGCCTTGTGCTTGAATTTTTGCGCCAGATGTTCCAGTCGCTCCAGACGCATCATCTCAGACAATAACCAGTCCTCGAACGTCTTTTCGGCTAATTCCAAATCTAAAAATAATTTTTGACATATCGTTATTTTACTCGAAAAATATATAGGAAGATGTATAAAGGAACTTTGAAAAAAAAAAAAAAACTCACTTCTCCACGCTTTATTTATGTCGGACACCATTTTTCCTTCCGTGGGCATGTACGCCGGCCTATTGCTCAGCCTCAGCTTCGTCTGAAGAGTATTGAAATTCGTCTCCAGCTTAGCTTTCTGTTCGACACGCGGCGGCTTATGCTTGCGCCGATACGTCCTGTACTCCTCCAATTTCTTTTGACAACCAGCGAGGGAATTGTCGGTCTGCCGATTCGCGAGCCATGGTAGCGTTCGTCGTATCCATTCGAGCAAATCGGAAGCCAAGCGCTCGTATTCCTCCATGAGACGCTCGTTCTCTTGGTTCACCTTCAGTACCTTGCAGATTCTGTTGGCCGCTGTCTCTGCCTACAATAAGAAAGTGCGCATTTCTCCCCTTACAACGAATTCTTTGATTGTGTTTGTATATTTAAAACATATGTAGTTTACTTCCATTGAGCAAGACACATGCAATCGTGAAAATAGCCATCTAGAAATGTAAATAAGAAACTTGAGATATATTAAAGGTCTGAATTTTTTGCTCCGCGAGTTAATAATATATTTCAATGCGCATACAAATAGTCAACGCGTTTGTTACAGGTTAATTTGAATTGCAAAACACACACCTTTTGAGCACCGCTAAAACAGTGGTAGTATGAGGAAACATAGGTCATCACGGCCCTCTCATCAGGCATTGCCGTATTTCGCATATCTAGAAAAACACATTCGAAGAAACTCAAACCATGCGTTGTTAGCGGAAAAATTTGCCGTTAAAAATTTAATTAATTTTAACAATAAACAAATCCGGCAAAAGAAGCGGAATGTCATTAGTAATTCTCACAATATAATTCTCACATTATGCTGGCAAAAATAATATGACATTGTCATCGTATCTTTTAATTATAATTAAAAAGTATTACGGAACACAGTGCGTAGTTTGTTTCAGTCCTCTGGTGAAGTAATTAAATTGAGACAATAGCAAGATAATCGATTAGCAGGTTCAAACGTCATTAACGGTTAGCATACAATTCCTTTAATTATAATTCGCGTTAACGAAGGATAGAACAGGTCGTTTTTACGACGGGGCAGGAACGAGGGAGCAACACGCATTTTTCTTTGACGCTGACCTGCTGGGCACCTTGGAACGCGTGGTAGTAGCAGGACACATACGTCATGATAGCTCGCTCATCCGGCTTGGGAGTGTTGATCAAATCTATATGATATCAAGGGAACATATAAACATTAAGTGTTTATACATGTCATGTTGTCACTCAAAAAAATCCAATCGTAGTTCCATCCTATACAGCGAAAATTGAAAGGCAAATATCTAATCTCGGCGATTCGATACAATCGTTTCCTCGATCCTATCAAATAGAGTGACGAACGTGGGTCCCATATTCCTAAGCTGTATGTCCCTCTATTACAAGTACCTGAACGTTTTTAATTTAACGTTTAATTTGATACTTACCATCGGGATCTAACATGCGAGGAATGTCGAGATACTTTTCAGCGACATCAAAGGCAGTGTTCAAGTTTTCCAGCGGATTATCCTTGCTGAGTTTGTTGTAGTCGATCAAGTCGGGCCGATGACGATGGATAAGAGCGCAGAACGCGAGACCATCCTTGAAGGACAGGTGGAAGTTTTGAACGTTGACGTTCTTGTAGGGTGCCGTCTTGCGTTGGCACCAAAGCAATAGTCCCTCCTTCGCAGTCATCTCCTCCACGGAGATATCCTGGATCGCGAATCTCAAGATAATGGTCCATATCATTCCCAAAGTCATCTTTAGATTGCCGTCAACGATTTCTGTCAAAAAGTTATCGACACTTGAGGAGCGTACAAGATAATATAAATTATATTAATTCTGCAATTATTTTTACGTTATTAAAATATAAAAGTGTGATGTGATTACTAAAAATCTAATAAACTTTTATTTTTATAAGATATATAATACTATCAGTGCGTAAAAAATAAATATTTTACACGATTTAGCACACTGCACTTTTACGCAATGATTGATTATGTAAAGAATTTCAAGAGAGAAAAACGTACCTTCCGCGCCAATTGAAACCAGCTTGACGCCCTTACTGGCGATATAATCAAGGGCCTTGTTAACGTTGGCAATCTTGTGGAACCTCATCTTGCCTCTGTCGGGCCTCGGAAGGGTCTCCCCTGAGATCACCTCAAGCAGCAACATCAGTTTCAACCCATTCCTAAAATCGTCTTCGATCGATTCGATGGCAGTGCCTGCTTTGCGTAGATGCGAGTTGCACCAAGCTGTGAATGTCTGAGGACATAAAAAAAAGGGAACCAATTAATCTGCGTTCGGCAATCATAAGTTGGTGCTGAGCAAGTCGAGGGTTGATGTGCAATTAACCCTCGCCGCCTATCTGCTTTAGAATTTCATGTAACTCATTGGGGTCGTTTTTTACCCCATCTTATTATTACTCATTTTTTACAGATTTTTAATATATTTATAAACATTTTTGTTGAAATCAAAAATAACAAAAAGTATAAATATTGCTATGAAAATAACTACTCGGAATCATTATTCTTGGTAAAACAGCGAGATTTTCGCCATTTTTAAGCGCGTGAAGTCAAAAAAGATCCCAGATGGGTGGCGAGGGTTAATAGACAGAAATAATACAGATAATAGCGAGACAATCAGAGAAGGGCTGTTCGACCGAAACGGTGTACCTAATTTTTTACACGAACAATGTGCCATGAAGAAATAAATCATTTACAACAGGGGATTGAGTTTCTTCGCTATACTGCTTAGTGTATATTTTAGTAGCGACCCCGATCCCTCCCGCTATATATATCTTCTGTCCTGGTTCTTAAGCCACGCTTTCTATCGTTCTCCGCAATGATTTTCGGATAAACTTTCGATATTTTTCTGCGATTGTGAGACAAGTGCACGATCTTGTTAAAAAGTCGTTCTTACGCGCAATGTCTCTTGCTTTTTGAAATACAGCAACAGCAGATCAGGAACCCCGGAGCCCCCGGAGGCAAATCTTGCAGGACAGTTTCCGAATTAAAAAGATAATTGTTTACATTGTGTTAGATTAAAATCTCCGTAATCGTCGTCGCGCGACAAATCGATCTCCAACGTCAGCTTCCGTGGTATAATCTCCGTTTTTTTTTCGGCGCGGTGAAATCGCGACAATTTTCGCGATATAAAAAATCGCATGATGTAAATTACGACGACGTTACGATCGAGGCGTGTCCAAGGAGTCGAGCGGAGATAAATCCTGGAGGGGAGTGCCGAGCGCGAGTTCGCGGAATGTTTATTCGAAAATCGCGGAGTGAAGCGCGGCATTCTCGATCGGGATCGGTAAAAAAAGGTCCCGGTTGCCGACGATCGAAATTTTCGAGTTGGAAAAATATTGCGTGAAATTCAATACGGCCGGCGTGAAGCCCACGACGGGCCAATTTTGGACATGAGCCACCCTCCTAACGTCTCTCTCTCTCTCTCTCTCTCTCTGCACGCGCGCTCTAAGATCTATTTGTAAAACATTGACTCCTCCCGCGCCCGAGTATTAAAGCATTTCCGACGGCATTTCCGAATTCGCCCGTTATTTAATAATTTAACTGTCGACGTACTTAATTCTCATTACGTCACCGATCATGCACGTCGTCGGTCGTCGGGCGAGAAAAACATAGACGTATGTTTGCAGTTGCGGTCTACGTTCTGCCTACGCGAGGCATTCGCAATTGAAACACTCTCGTGCTTTCGTTCGGCAAATTAATAATATTGCGCTACAAAGCGTTGAATATAATTAAAGGCTCTAATCCGTCGATAAAATGTATCGCGCGATACATTTGCACGAATTCGTAATTTAATACTCTGTCGTTGAAAAAAGTCTTCCGTGCACGCGCGAATGATGTGCTGTATCGATGGAAAATACAGCCAGACGCACAGCTCACGGATAAGGGACGTCCTCGAGGATGAAGAAATGCGATAGCCCGATATATTTGCTGATAACACATTATTTCTATTTCTGACCGTTTATACGTTACGTGGTAACACGACCACTCGTTTTCCGCGGGCCTATACGCCGACGAGTGTGCGCACGATTTACACAACGGACGGCAAATATAATATCCTCCCCCGAGATTTACGCCACGCAATCTACGAGTCGAAAAGAAATTCTGGTCGAGAGAGAAAATTTCCAACGTCCAACCGGTCGCGTTGCGTACGAAAAAGAAGTGTACATTACTTTGTAAATAAAGAGCTATTTTTAGAAAAGAGCCGACATTTATTTCCTTCATTCAATTGCAAAGTGACTGAAAACGCAAGCCAGCTTGTTTATTTTACATTTGAAGTTTCTCGTTCATAATCCTGTAGTGCGATGCTGATTACAATATTTAGTTTGAAAAACAATACTGAATCTGTAATAATTGTATTTAATTTCTTTTAATCAAAATTACAAAAGGAAATTATCTTTATAAACGTTAAACCCTCTTTATTCAATGCTACATGTCGTTTGAGAAGCTTGCGCTTCATCGTGATTATTTTTCATAAATGTAACATTTATCGTTACATTGACGGGCCATTATTTTCAAAACGATTCGATCATGCTATCGCGTCATATTCCGATTAACGCGATTGATATACATAAAGTATGAAGAGAAACGATCGCTTTAGAAGTGTTGTATACGCTAATGTGCGCGCATGTAAGACTTTTATAAGATGTATCTAGTTTCTTAAGTTGCCGTCTCTTCTATATCTGCTTCTCGTATTATCGTCTATCCAAGATAATACTATCTTACTATCGTCAAAAGCTCTGGCGCTCATATCCGTATATATATTACGATAACATCGTTGGTGTCATCGGTGGCACCATTACAAATTTTGTTCCTCCGTGATTCATCGTCATCTCTCTACAAACCTTAATGTGTATGACACACGCTAGTACATTAAAGATAATATAAACACTATCGTGTTATTCTCGACGCGCGTCCCGCGTTATTTCGGCGCACGATTTTTGAGGGTTATATCTCGCGATCGACAAAATTTAGACAAACATAATACTCAACTAGATACATAATATTTAATTATATTTATTAAGGACGTAATTAATATAGGTATGCCTCCACATGTAACATATACTAGTTAGTAATTTCTGCTTAATTTCTGCTCCAAATATATTCGTCGTGGAATTTTCATCGATAAGAAAAAAAAGGAAAAGAAATAAGGAAAAAAAAGAAAAAAAACTTTTCGTTACGTACTGTATTGAACATAATTATAACTTTTTTAAATTTCCTAACTCTTATTTTCCTCATTAGCGCAACTTTGTCATCATTATTCACATTAACATGTATGTGTGTGTCGACTATGAGTAAATACATTTATACAAAAACAGCCTAAACGCCCTTCTCCGCGCAATTCACATAATCAAAATCTTCGCGTATGATTTTTTACGCGCTACTCTATTTCTACTCCAAAAATTTGACAATAGTCTACGTTTGTCTGTGCCCCTCCTGTCATCCTTATCGGATCGTTTCGTGTCTTATCGAAATATATGCGCGTGCACATATAGTGTAATCTTCGATAAAGCGCAACATCGTTTAAGCTTCAAGTTTAAAACGAAAACGTCGCCGTCGCTTGCATTTGCAAAATGTTTGTTCTAGGTTTGTCCTATCGCCGCTTATTTTCTATCTTCTGCAGACAGGAATGTATGCTTCTATCATGTTGCATTAAGTTTGGCAACGGAACAGTTTAATTACGGATCAGTCTGCAAATGTAATCTTTCTCATGAGAATGTCAACGAGTCTCAACGAGTTTCTCAAAGCTCTTCTCCGAGCCGTTAATTTATATTCTAACGAGGAGAAATTTGATAATCTCTGTTAATTATACATATATGCAAATTGCATTCAAATTATATTTAGATTGCACAGGAAAGATTTCTCAAAGTGCTGACGTCTCAAGTACGTCTCGAATTAATTCGCCCTTAGGAATATATTACTTCAATAAGTCTTCGACGAGGCATGTACTATTTATATCAAAATATTCGACCTCTATTGAATTTTTTTATTTATTATACATAAAGTTATAACAATAGATAACTTTCGCAACTTCATCACGCATTGTTCTTTGAGAATTTTCATTTCTAAGATATATTATCAACGTTCATTAATAAACGTCAATTCACTGATAAACGTCATTGACAATTTTCCAGTAGGCTTTGTGCAGATAGATTCGAATCACCATTCTCTCGAGAAGATCATTGCCGCTATCGTGCCTAACGGGTCATTGATAAGAGTACGCGTCTTGGCACGAGGGTGAAAAATTTAACGGGGAGCTTGAATCGCGGAACACGTGGGTGGGAGATGCAGTCCGTAATTATTACTACGACCTTTCGAATGAGGCCAATATCTAGCCAATATCTAAAATAGTTAATCGTGGGTGTAAAGCGAAATGTCTGCATGATGAATCCGCGTTTGGCGCACGCAGCTGCGTGCAGCCGAAGAACCATCCTCGCCCAAGAAAAATAATCGCGACTTTCCACGCTCTATTATTTCCGCCGTTGTCCGCTGTTGCTTTGCATTTATTCGCGCGAGCTGTATCTTCTTCTATACCGCATAACATTTCTATTTTCATGGTTTCCCTCGATATTTCACAACCA